GCAAACTGCTAGACATGAGACATGAGGCATGAGGTGTGAGATGCGAGATACGAGACACGTGATGTGAGACACGCAAACTGCTAGACATGAGACATGAGGCATGAGGTGTGAGATGCGAGATACGAGACACGTGATGTGAGACACGCAAACTGCTAGACATGAGACATGAGGCATGAGGTGTAAGATGCAAGATATGAGACACGTGATGTGAGACACGCGAACCGCTAGACATGAGACACGAGGCGTGAGGTGTGAGATGCGAGATACGAGACGCGGGGTGAGACGCGCGAACTGCTAGACATGAAACATGAGGCATGAGACGCGAGGCATGAGGTGTGAGATGCGAGATATGAGACACGAGATGTGAGGCACGCGAACCGCTAGACACGAGGCATGAGGTGTGAGACACGAGATGTGAGGCATGTGAAACTGCTAGAGATGAGACATGAGGTGTGAGACACGAGATGTGAGGCATGTGAAACTGCTAGACACAAGACATGAGGTGTGAGACACGAGATGTGAGACATGTGAAACTGCTAAAGATGAGACGCTAGGAATGAGACATGAGGCCGAGCTCGTAGAGCACGCGTGTTACGTCTGGAAGGTCGTTGGTTCGAATCCCATCTGTTTAGTTTTTATTTTATTTTTTTAAATTTGTTTTTCTGTTTAGGGTTAGGGTTAGGTTAGGATTAGGGTTAGGGTTAGGGTTAGGGTTCACAATGCGTATACATGTGTACACATGTGTATTATGGACCCGAGCGATCCCGAAGTTGCGCCCTACTACCGTTCGGCTATTTCCGGAAAAATGTGTATTTCTCCCCCCGGTACACGATTCCATACATACCTGCTCACGCATGGTAATGCCGCCGTGCGTTGACGTGCGAACGGGTGACAGCGTCGTCTCCACCTGATCCAGCAACGGCTCACTGTGCGACGATAGCTCTGACAGCGACTGCAACAACAACAACAACAACACGCTGCACACACGAACGCAGTCTCGCAAGATCTCACGTGATTGTCGCTGCGACAGTATCTACGACTCGTTATCGGACGACGAGTATACGAGAGGCGACTGTGTGTACAACGATACAATTTTTTTAAAGTTTTTTTTTGCTTTATGAATCGTAGTGAAGAGAATACTACTGCGCAACAGGCTGTGATGAATCTATGGGTACTTAAGAATCGTATATGCAATGAACCCATCTAAACATAAGATCATGTTCGTGGTAATCTCAGTGTAAATGTAGTAAAATAATGTGATAAATAAAACTATAGAGCAAATTATGACAGAAGGGGTCTATTTCTACACAATCTCAACATAAGATTAACTATAACAACAACAATAACAATAAGCATATTTATAATAATGTAATGGTCAGTTTCAATCACAGTCGTTGTGTTCAATATAAAAATAAAAATAAATGTTTAATGCAAAGGAACACAAGCACGTTCACTTGTTTCCTGCGCGAGGACGCATTGCATGCTCACTTGTTCGCTGCCCGCCCGGCTCGGAGTTCTACTGGACGCTCGGCTGCTTGATCGACTCGCAGCCTGAGACGACGTCCGAGATCCAGGCTTCACGCCCTCTGTTGGAGAGATGAGAAACATGTGAACATCACTAGGCCACTGCTTGACCGACGAAAGTTTAATAAAGTAGTAAGGTATTAAAATTAATCAATGGTTAACAAGCTGTCAGGAGAGCCACCCAACAATTGCACATCGCACGCCCCACGTCACCACAACCCGCCACGTCTCGCTCGTCACACACGCGTGCGATCGGGCGGCGGCGGCGGTAGCTGCAGGGGGCGCCACTCACCGGGCGAGTGCTGCGCGGCGAGGTGCCCCGCGGCGCACGTCGCGAAGCTGGCGCTGTTCAGAGAGCTGGTGTCGCTGCCGTCCGGGCTCGCCGCAGCCTTCCTCTGAGCCACGTGCTGGCTGTGAACCTTCCTGCTGAGCGGCGTCGACGTCTTGTGCTGCACGGAAAACGCGATGGGGAGAGTTAACAGTGGCGCCATCTGCGGGCAGTTGTTTCAATTAAAATCCTCAATTGATTTAAATTGAAACAACTGCTTGCAGACGTGATCGGGAGTTGACAGTGGCGCCATCTGCAGGCAGCCGTTTCGATTAAAATCTTTCACGCACACGTTGTGCCAGCTACAGTAGAATGTTTCAGTTAAATGTTTTATACACGCTAACGGTTTGTTTACACAAGTTTGTTAACTTAGCGCATGCAGTTTAATTAGTTTAACATACTGCAATGAATAAATAAGAAATGAATAAATAGGTAATTAAGGGACACCCGTAAAAAAAAGTAATCGCATTTGAAATTGATCAAGGAAGGTATCATGTATGGCATTACTAATTTATGGAAAAGCAGTGAAGGGGGGTGACAGGAACAAAATTCTGTAAGAATTCTGTTAATGCTGTGAAGGTTTGACAATAGGTGCAATGTGAACCATGCATATGAGAGAATATCTTATCAAGGATACCTTCCACCAGTTATATCTTATCCAATTAGTCCCTCCAATAGTTGGGATCTTGCAGCAATAAAATAGCACAGAGTTGTTAATAGGTATAAGAAGTCAGTGCTTATAAAGAGTCAGCCAGAAAGAGAGAGAGAAACCCAGAGAGAAAGAGAGAGAGAAACAGCATAAGAGAGAAAGAAAGAGCGAGAGAGAGAGAGGGAGAGAGAGAGAGAGAGAGAGAGAGAGAGAGAGAGAGAGAGAGAGAGAGAGAACACAAGAGCGAACGAGTGACAGACAGAGAACCACAGACAGGTCACAAACAGGAGGATTCCTCCACTTGTATTCCCAGCTATAATCAATCATATTCACTACACTGGAAGCTATGGTAGGGCTTCATCCTAAAAGTTCCAG